GTGTTACGGATACGCTAGTAAAGTTTGCTTTCAGCACAACCACATTTGAGGTATCATACAAGCAGGGTCACTAAAAGCCTCGCACTTAAGATCACAGTGGAAGGTACAAGCTTGAAACCACGACAAAACAGCATGGTTGCATAAGACAACTTTTAAGCAGTGACAGTTTTAAGCCCCAATTCCATCTACACAACATGTTAACCATATCAGACTCTACCAATAAAGCCATTAAAGGGCAAGAAAAGCCTCAGCAGGTATCAAAACAAAAATACTTTGGGAGTTTATACATGTGCTCTGGGAATGGGGAGACGGGCAGGCACTTTAATTAGAATGACTCCAAGAGCTGCTCTAATTAAAGTGTCCAGAGCATCCTGTATATCAGTGTCCCTGTGCTTCAAAATGGCAGCAGAGGCACCATTTTGAAGCGCACGGACACCAATACACGAGACATGATTAAATCAAGTCTGCTCTGATGCACTGGAATTACAGTGTGCTGGAGCAGTATCCCTCTCTTTAGCTCTTTTCCCACTTAAATGGAAAAGTTTCAAGTTCAGCTTATGTGATATAGAGATTTCCTCTTTAATCCTAGATGCAAGTGAGAGGAAAGCAGTTTATTAGTTTTGCTCCTTCTAGTGCCATAATTAGGCAAATCACAGGAGGAAGTTATAACTGGGCAGAAAGACACCATATTACATTAGAAATTCAGTGGGACATTTGAGTGCTTCAGACTGATGTTGCATCAGTCTCTTAACAAATCAAGAGAAATGCACTCTCTACAATATTTACCTGTATTATGCATGTGCTTCAGATTCCACACAACACCCTTGCTAGTCCTATTTCATTTACAAATGTGGGACTGAGGGTTAAGAGAGGGCTAAATGACTTGTCCAGGATCTCCCAGTAGATAACTTTAAGTCATAGGCTACTGACCTGACCATTTGATCATACTTTCTCTTTCCAAGCTAAAATGAATGGACCAACAAGCTAGAACTGAGGCTAGAATAAGTGACCTGGGATGAGATTTGAAGGCTGCAAGTTATATTTTCATAACACTAGTGGTCATGTGCCACTAAGAAGTTCAGATTATTTTTAGTGGAGGAGCTGGGAGAAACAGAGGACGGTATTCTTTCTTGCACCATGAATACCAAGTTGTAAAGTTCCCCAATAAGCAGAGGGGGTGATAGGTTTAATCAATTTGGAAATGAAATTGCTTGGTTCTTGAGAGTGAATATGACTGAAAAATTCTATTACAAATCCCACATGGTGAAACCTCAGACTGGAAGGTCAAAGGAGCCTGAGTGAAGGAAGTTCCATGAGACTGGCAACACCCATAGCAAACATGTGTATGCCAATCTAGGAACAAGGAACTACCTGGATTTTTGACACTAGGGAAATTAATCTAATATACAACTGAAATAGGAAAGACCAGCAAAAAATAATTCAACATTGGAAGTCCTAACCTGGCAAAAGAGAAAATCCTGTAAACCCATCCAGAAGAGTGACAGAACACAGTTTCGAGGACTGTAAGGACCAGTGCTGGGGGAAGAATTTGGTTAACTTCCCAATGAAATGCAAAGGGCATGCAGTAAGCAGCATTAGCCATTAAAGAGTACCAGGGACATGGCATTGTTTAAAGGGAAGCAGGAAATAGGACTCTTCTTTCATTACTGCTTTGTCCCCTGTAATGCCTCAATTATACTTTGTGGGGTTTTTTCCATTGCGACATCCTCTACAAATGAATTTAGATAAAAGTAATCACAGAAAGTCTCTTCCGAAATGTTCATTGTATGTATCCCAAATCAATCCACGATCTGAGCTGTTGTTTCAAATACTCAGTTAACAGTTTCTTTTTTTTATGTCAGCTTTATAACAGGGATTCCTTCTGTCTGTAGGTGTAGAATCTTCATAGTTCTGTCCCAGTTCCCACCATGAGTCTTTAAAATACAAGACTCATCCTTTTGTAATTAGACAATTCAATGCCAAATCAAACACAAGTTACTGGATTTAATGACAATGTAAAGCAAGTTTCTTCTTCTTTTCTAACGAGCCACTACTTTTTCCAGTTGGATTCTTCTGAAGTTACCAAAATGATACCTTTCCTTGCTAAAGATAAATAATCTCTAAATGACAATTCTTTTCAGAAGGACAGTCACCTAACACAGTATTTTTTGGATTTAATTCCTGTTGTTTACCTTTAAGTATATTTCCGCTCCTGGAAGAATGAATTAATTAATTATAGGACATTAAAAAGTCTTTTGGAACCTTAAACTGTGGAAGGAGTGTTCATATACAGGCTTGAAACAAACAAGGAGTCCGTCTGTTTCAGTTTCCAACAACAGCTGAGACCAGATGTTTTAGCGACCGGTGTGCCCCTACTTCTTGCATTTATTTTGCAATGTTATTGAGCAGGGGGAGGAGCTTTTTTTTGGCCCTGTGTTGGTCTTCTCTTTGTTTACAACCCTTGTAATTGTATAGGACCTTGGTAACCACAGCTACTCTGTAAGCCGAGTAAATTATACTGTCACAGAGAACGGAAATTTCAGTTGAGTCATCCTCTAGGGATATCCTACTACTTTGGTTCTTCCCTTGCACCTGTGGAGACTTGTTCATATGAAAATTAAGACTTATGGCTGAGTGTGATCCTTCTGAGCTAGATCCATTTTAAAATGACATGAATTTGGGGCCAAAAGTAATCTTAGGATCGTGGTTCCACTAGAACACAAAATTAAATTAAGAAAAAGCACTTAGGAAGATAAAAAATGTTAATCCTAGGTATATCCCTCTCAACTACTTTGAGGTGTCATCTTTGCTTATCCAATTCCTAATTTGTTTTCCGCTACATGCTGTGGAAAGCAGAAATTTCCACTAAAAATGGGACTTCATAGTTACTCAGTACTAGTTCCTAAACCCAAAGAAACCATGCTCTGAAATAGAAGACTCTTGCTGTCTCCTGGGGAGAGGAGGCGAGGGAGATGGGGGGGAAGAAGGGCCTGTCTAGATTCCGTTCTAATTGGCCTAGTTGCACCAAGGCAATTTGAAATGAGTTTCATATTTTTATACGAAATTTGAAATGAATGACTAATCTGATCAGCCTGTTGCTAGCTTTTTGCTCAGTACATTTAAGAGCTCCCCAAATGAATTTTTCTCCCCAGCATCTTTCCAAACTTGCTAGACAGAGGAAAGTGGTACTTGAACAATTTATAAGAGGTAAATTGATCCATGGTGCAGAGGGCCTTGATAAAGTTTATGGGCGTGTGTAGATGAAACAGGGGCCCTAATTTGAAGTGGTGGATTTTTAAACCCATCATTTCAATTTAGAGCCCTTTAAACCTCTGTGTCATGCACACACCTCGCACTTACCTGCCTCTCCGGTGGTGGGAAGGGGAGGGCAAGCTGCCAACAAGCGGAGTGGTCCCTGGACTGCAGGGGCAGGGGGCCTAGTGCTTCCCTCCACAGCAGCGGCGTCCCCCACCCCAGGCAGCCCCTGCCTGCAGGCACCCAGCTCAGGCAGTCCCGGGAGGCACAGCAGCTATGGGGGGAAGCACCAGGCCCTGCACAGTTCATGCAGGCAGGCTTCAGGGGTGGGGAGGAAATCAGGCTCATTGCTTTTCTTACATGGAACCTGTTTGCCCGGGGTTGCTGGCAGGCTCCCTACAGGGCTTCCTGCAGAGCCACAGAGCTGCATGGAGTCCAGTGCTTCACTACACAGCTGTAGGGGCAGCAAATCATTTCAGGTGCATTACACTGCTGAATTTCCTACAGTGGCGGGAATTAATGTGCAATATGCCGTGAGGTGTGCAAACACCAACACCATTAAAGCAGTGCAAAAGCATTTAGCCCGCTTTAAAGTGTCATGCACACACGCCCCTCATTTTGTCTACACATGGCCTTGGACACTACTTACTAACCACATAAGGGTGATATCATAGGTCATCAAATAGAAGCATCTGTCATGGCACCCCTCAGTTGGAAGTTTGGCTCTTATATCACTTAAGAAATTTTGAAAATTTAAGGAACAAATTTTCACAGATACTCAAGCACCTAAAGAAGGAATTTTCAAAAGCATGTATCAAAGCAAGCCAACTCCCATGGATTTCAAACACTTTTGAAAATCTGTCCTAAAGTAACTTGCCCAGAGTTGAGCAAAAAAATCAGTAACAGAGTAAGAAGCCATCAGGTCTTCCTACTTTCTGCACTTGGGAGACATTCTGGCACCAGTGAAGTAACCTAGAGTTTAATCAGGCAGCATGAGTTCAAAGAAGAACAGGATCACTCTGTCTCTAATAAAGCAAATTAAATAGTAATTAAGTTTTTCTTCCTTGCATTATAGTCAACTGCCTGACCACTTACAATGATATTACATCTAAGATCAATCCTCATAGCATGGATCTACCACCAGCCAATCAGCTCGCTCCCAAATTACTCTCTATTTTATAAAGTAGACATAGATGTTAACATGCAGAAATTAGATATAAGCATTGTTTTCCCCAGAAAGCACAATGGAAAGCTGGCATATGTGGAGGTTACCAAAAACTGAATCTAGTTCAAGCAGGATTTGTTATTTTTAAATACCGTTGGCTCTCAAGTAAAGACTATTGTTAAATATAAATCAGCAGAGAACTAATGTTAGTTAGAGTCTTCCTTTAGCAAAAGTTTTAATGCTTTTTGGCACTTCATCCAAAGGCTGAAAAAGATCACACGCCTTAGGCTCCCCTGTTTGGCCTGTTCAGAATATGCATCAAATATTCTGGATGTTTAGGATGAAAACCAAGTGTGATATAAAAATCCTCTAATCAATAAGACATTTTGTAAAACACTAAATGTATAAATGACAGAAAGCCCTAGCAAACATTTAAACTTCTTCAGAGTGTTTAGAATTTGTATGATAATGGCAAGGAGGAATTTGCCTACATAATATAAAATTTATGCTAAGTCTTTTAGGCATTTTTCAAAATATATGTTTTAAACAAGTGCCACATATGTAAATGAACACCAAACACTACAAAGGTTAAACAACATGGTTCTATTAAAAACTATCTTCAACCATGGCACTCAGTGACAGCAATACAATACTTTCTTCACAAAGCAACTAATATAAAAATATGCCATAAATTCATTTATAGACTAGTATTCTGATACATACATGTAATTATAACATTCTTTATATAAACTCTTTCCTGAGATATTTTGAGTAGTTCAATTTTGATGTATTACTGGATGCTTTATCTTTAAGGTTTGCTTTAAAATACCTGTAAAATATTTGGTATGTGTAGGATGCTAGCAGTAACACAGAAGTAGCAATAAATGCAATTAAATGACACTGGAACAGCCTTGAGAAATGTTGCTTTTAACCATGTTCCACACATTTTATCCTTTGACTCCTCTGAGGGGGAAAAAATCTGAAGGTACAGCTAAGAATTGACAAAATGCTGGAAAAGCATTTTAGGAATGTTAGAAGTTGGAGTATAAGATAAATGACACAGAAAAAGCCATAATTCTTGTTGGCTATGTATTGCCTCAAAAAGCAACTGGACACGTTTTAGTCAGTTCACAGTATAATAAATACTAATCTGTTTTGGAAGAGCAAATGTCTTTTAGGGTTTCAAGCTCTTCAATAAGTTTCTTGTTCTGAACTTCTAGCACTGCAACACGACTCTCCAGACATTTTATGTATTCTTTCTTCCGACGTCGACATTCTTTAGCAGCTTCCCTGCAAAAAGCAGAAGTAAAAGGTGCAAACAAAAAGGCTATTTGCATGCTATAAGAAAATGCAAATTGAAGAAAGCTCAGCAGAATATGGAGACTATGAATGAATTCCAATTTCTGGAACATCTCCCCCATTACGTCTGAAAGCAGTAGGCAAAAACTGTGTTCACAAGGGTCACAAGTGTCCCTTCCTCAAGTTCACATGGCAATACGTAGAATTGCTTCCTCTCATGCCTTGATTAAAGTTCATAGAAACAAGGTCCAAATCAAAGACAGTTATTCTGCTTTATGGCAATAAAGATCTTTGAGGGCCTTGAGTTCCTCAATGAGAGTCTTGTTTTGGTTTTCAAGCACAGCCACACGATTTTCAAGACATTTGACATACTCCTTCTTCTTTCTGCGACATTCCCGGGCAGCTTCCCTGGAACCAACACAATGCAAATAACTACAGGTACAACCACACTCCAGTCAGAACTGGATAAATACAATTACCTACAATCCCTAAAATTCCACAGTAAATCACTCTTTGGACAAACAAATAACTAAACAATGATCTTAGACAGCTACATCATTGAACAGCCAACCTGAACCCACAAAAACAACCTGTTAATTAACGCAATTTGCTTGGCATCCACAATATGATGAATGAGTTGTTATACAGATGAACCGAGACAAACACAATGAGGACAAGGATCAGCTGTTAACAAGCTGCCTTCAACTTGTACAAAACACCATGGCTAAATGCCTTCATTTCTGAAAATAGCATTTTCTGTTCCCATCACAACCCATTTTATGCGTTTCTGCAGGTACTTAGAACATCATCTTCTGCAATCAAAACACTTAACAACAAAGTTAAAGAAAATATAGGGGTGTTCCCTTGCTAAAATATAGGTGTACCAGCATTCTCTCTTCAGATTCAAATCTAGGTATCTGGTTTAAAAAACTACTCCAACTCTGACATTTTCAAACAATTATGAACAGGACTAGTCAAAATGGCATAATCTTTTTTCTTTTAAAATTGTTCAGTTGCACCCATTTACTCCCCAATTTCTTTTTTTCCCCCTAAAATACAAGCAGCCATAAATTATACCAACCTAAGTCATAATTCTGCTACTCAAAAATTAAAACAGTTTGGGTATGATTTTTCAAATGTATGTGACTGAATTAGGTACCAAATTCCACAGACACATATATTTAAGAACTTTTTAAAACTGAATCCCCTTAGCATTTACAAGATTTTTATAAATTGGCGTCAAATTTCCTGCATGCTGTACATAAGAGAGTGGTAGCTCTAGTTTTGCAACTGAAGAGAGAAGACTTGAAAGAGGAGAAAGCATAAGAAAATGCAACAATCCTCAAGAGTGACTTAAAACAAAGACAGGCATGAGAGCAAAGCAATACCATGAATGTAATGAGACAGCATTCAGTATGTTAGTGAACTACAAAGCAGACCATTTCTTCGTAAATGCATGCTTCTAGTTCTCAGCAAGTTTAACAACTGCTATGCAAATGCATAGATAAGAAAATAAACCCCGAACGACAGTCAAAAGAATGCAAGAAGAAAGCACAGAAGGTTTGTTTATTGTGCACATCAGAAAGACTTTATGCCAAGAAACTAAAAAATACAGACAATTTACCAAATGTCACACAATTCTATTTTACTCAATTTTCCTAAAGCAGATTTGCTTTTGCAATAATGTCTCTCCATCAGTATAGTATTACGTAACAGAACCTGCAACAATCATTTCACACTACAATAAAAATCTCAGACACTGCATGCTTGTCACGGGTACTTTGTGACACATGAGCCTCTCCCCAGTTTTTTTCCAGCCAAAGCTACTCAGTAAATAGTTTCAGGCTCACCAAACTTCCTTTATTTTTGATGAATGTACTATTCACTGCTAGTCACTACCTAGTTCTATTGTTAAGAGCACTATCTCTGAATATCTCTGCAAAAAAGATCAATCATGAACTCATTACTATACATATTTAAATTCTCATAATTATGTTTTGGGTTTCAAAATCTATGGAGATCAGTAGGACTGCTCCTTCACCTGAGTGCTATTAGTTTACACTCTCTGTAGGCACAGGAAGACAACACAGCATTGATTTCTAATCTGCTCTCATTATGAAGTTATTTTCCCAGCCACAAGGTTTAGGATGAGGGCTCAGATTTTGTAATGCTTTTTTTTTGGGGGGGGGGGGGAGGACTGTGCTCCTCACCACTCAGTAGAATATTTAGGATTTAGTCAATTAGTGGTAATTATTCAATCAGTGCTATATACAAATATATTTGCTGCTGTGCACTTAACAGCAAAGACTTCTCTGTTCTTTCTTCAGTTGTCACGGAGGACTCTCAACTTCAACAACATTTTATTTTAATACCTTACTCTTTCCAGCAATCACTAATCATTGTGTTACAGTTAAATATCCATACCTATTTTTCATGAGTCTTAGCTCTCTTTTGCGTGTTGCCTCCTCTGCTAGCTGCTGAGGGCTGTGCAATGTTCCCGGTGATGCTGCCATTACCACTCCTTGAGGCAAGGCAGTGGTAGGAGTTCGGATCTGATAAGCTGGCATGTCCCCAGTAGCAGCTGTATAAATATATATATATAAAAAAAAAAAAGAAAGGTTTTACATTATACAAAAACATGTCTGTTAGTATCTAACTGAAACGAGATTTCTGCTGATATATTATCTAGTTCTCTGTTATCTCAAATATTCAGCAGGCCCATGAGGTCCAAAGACACTAAAGCTAACAAATACAACTAGATTCTCATGTCTCTATTACAATATATGAGTTATAAAACAGATTTTTAAAACAGTTTTTATGGTTTTAATTTGAAACTGGGTCTCCCCAATGGCCTCTGTTCTCTCATTCATTTCGAAAAGCCTATTTTTCTATCTTTTTAGAACACCTAAACTTTCAAATACTATTTACAAGGAAAATCATGCAAGTCTAATAAGTACAACATGTGTCACATTTAAAATTAATATAAAAATATTGACTCTCATGCATAAAATTAAGAGGAAGTTCTCTACTGTTCACATCTTAATATTTTCCATACTACTTCAGAACAGAGAACTTAACTTTCCTTGGCCCTGAAAATTAATACACAGAATCAAACTGCAGTTGCTGTCATCTTATGTGAAATTTGCACTGCCTTTTTTTTAAACATGGTTCCAGTAATAAAGGAATGATTCAATTAAACTCAGAAAAGTGTTAAAACAAAATAACCACACATATTAACAAAATGAATATACACAAACTCGTACCATTTTGGAGAGGTGAGAAGGTAGAAAAAGGGCAAAATCAATTAAATAAATTAGCTTTCTTGCCATCTTCTTTCATAGTTTCATGCCAACTGACCCTAAAGCAATATCCCAAGGTTACATGAAATGGGACAAAAATAGATTTAAAATGTTATCTTCCTCTTCAAATCAGAAGATGGCCTTCTAAGAAAGGTACCAGACTAAAATGGATGTATGGGTGCAGGTCTTGATCTTTCTGTGTAATTGTGGACATTTACCTTCTGACTAAGCAAAGTATCTCATTTTGTAGGTAGTTCCACTTAAGTTAGTAGGACTGTCTCACAGTTGATTAGTTGTAAAATGAAAGTATACTAATTGTTTAATTTCACCCCTTGCTGGCCATGGCTATTCAGAGCATGAGCTCTTTGGGACAAGTCTTTCACTGGGTATGAATTCAGCAGAAAAAAGAGAGATGATTTTACCTATGAATCGTAGATTTTGTCTATGAAATCTTCAATGAACACAAACTGCTAATAAAAACAAGACAAGTTTGTAGGTCAAATTAAAGACTATGGAGTTTAATTTGATCCCAGAGCTTAATTTGACCTGCAAAATAAAATAAGTATTACAAACTGCCTTCCTTTGAATAAAGTTTTAATTCAAGTTGGCTAATGTGAATTAAAAACAAAATTTTGTATATAGCATAGGACTTGCAAAACTGTACCTTCTCCTCACAAGGGCATATATATAGGTACTACTATAAGTCAAATACATAATGTTAATAAGGCCACCATAACATAGAGCTAATTTTAAGATCCAAAATCATGGCATGAGAGGAAAACAACTGGTTTGTCAAGCAACAGAAAAATCTTCTGGCACAGAAAAAGCTTCAAAATGTTTGTCACATTATAATATAAAACATGATTGTGCTGTAGCATCTTCAGTGTTCTTTAAAACAGGTCAAATAAAATGTCACTTGAGCTTTAATTATTTCTAAACCAACCGCTAACTATTTTTATGATGTCTACAAAAGCTGAAATATCACAAAGAAAAATGGTGTTTTCCTTTAAAGATCAGATGCTAAAAACGACACAAAAGTAGAAATATATGGTATGTCCACCTATCTGACTATTTATAATGTTTGCTGTTCCTTTAATGCACTAATACTCAACCAGGGTACTACAGCACCCTGGGGTGCCTTGAGATCCTTCCATCAGACTCTCTCTTGAATGCTCCACCACCACCATTTCCTTTCTAGACACTATTATCAATATCCAGAACGGCAAAATACAAACCATCATAGACAAGTGACCCACGGATCAACATACATATTCTGCACAAAGCTAGCAATCACCCTAAACACACCAAGAAAGCTGTAATATATAGCCACATTTTCCAATACCACCGAATTTGCACTGAGAAGAATACCCGCAATTGTCACCGCACAAATCATAAAAGAGCTTTCACCCAACAAGGACACTCCTCCACAGAGATAGATCATACTTCTGAAAGAGCCACTCGGACAACACATGAAGATTTGCTGCAGTACGAAAAGAAAATCCCCATGAATTGCACACTGTTAGTTATGACATATCATCCTTCCCTGGAACCTACATGGAAAAACCTCAAACAACTGCAACCCATACTGGAAGACACAATTCATAATGGGATCTTCCCAGAAGCACCCATCCTAGCCTTTAAACAAGCACCAAACCTCATGACCAGAAGCAAACTTCCTATGGCCCAAAGCACACCAAATGGGTCCAGACTATGCCAGGACAAGAAATGTAAAACCTGCCAACACATCTCCAACACTCCCACAACAACCACATCCCACAACAGAACTATCACCATTCCTGGATCTTACACCTGCACCTCCAGAAATGGTATACATCTCATCCAGTGCACTGAAGGCCCTGATGGAAAATGTGTAGGAGAAACCAAACAACAACCATGTACCAGAATGAATCCACGTCAAAATTCTATCTAAAACAAAAATACTTAAAAGTACCTAATTACCTGTGAGTGCACACTTCTCACAAGACAACCACTCTCTCTCCAGTCTCTCAGTTCTAACCGTCAAAGGGAATTTACAAAACACCTTTCATAGATGAGCCTACGAACTTCACTTCATAAATCTACTGGATACAAAGAAAATCAGGGATTAAATACAAACATTAGATTTATGGCACACTAGCCAACTGCCTGTCAAGAATGACAAGGTGGGGGGAGCAAGCAGGGGCAGAGCCCCATGCCCCCACCCTTCCCTCCTGCTACTTGGGGTCCAGGCCCACTCCCCACAGCAGTGGCAGGGGGAGGGGAGGGGAGGAGCGGGCCTGGGCCTGATACAGGGCGTGTTGGGGAGGACCAGGCCCAAGGGAGGGGAGAAGCTGGCTTGCCACGGTTGTTGGGGGTGGAAGGGGAGCAGTGGGCCTGGGTCAATGTGGTGGCGGGGGACAGGAGGAGCAAGCTCAGGGCCAATGCGGGGGAGGGAGGAGTGGGAGAGGAATGGGCCTGGGCCCAAAGGGGGGAAGAGGCAAGCTGATCCTTCCCTCCCCCTGCTCCTCCCCAGGCCCACTCCTCCCCTGCCCCGCACTGCCACCGTGTTGGCCCAGGTCTCCTCTTTCCCTCCCCCCCACCACAGTGCGCTCCCACTCCTCCCCTACCACCACTGCGTCAGGCCTGCAGGCAACAATGATGGAAGGGGGGAGGGGCAGGATGAGGCCAGCACAGGTGGCTTCACCCCCCTGCGGAGTCCTGACCCCACTCCCCACCTGCGCCACCACCACCTCCAAGGAGCAAGGGGGCAGGGGCCAGGCCAGCTCCAGTGGCCTTGGCTGCTTCTCCCACCCCACTCCGTCACCACCTGCAGGGAGCAGGGCATGGGGGGCAAAACCCCCACATTTCATCGGCTCCATTGCCGCTGCCTCCTGGGAGCAGGGTGGGGGGCAAAAGAAGCTGATCTGGTCTCGCCCCCCCCCCATCACCCGTGTCCTTGCCATCGTGGCAGTGCTCCACCACACTGCCACCTCCTGTCCAATGCTGTATTCGCACTCTGACTGGCTGTTTCAGTCAGCAAATCAGAGCACAAATCAAGTGTTACAGACAGACAGACAGATTAAGGCTTTTATAATATCAGAATTATTACCTGCCTGCCAGTGACAATGCATAGAGGGTGCATGTGCACCCGCTGTGAGTGCTGGTGCACCCCCTAAAAGCAGCATTCCCAGGCAGGAGAGGCAGGCAAGAGCGCTGGTGCCCCCGCTGAGAGTGCTGGCCAGGGAGTATGCAAGGAGAAACAACCCCCACCTCCTGCGGCCAATCCCACCGACTCGGAAGTGCACACTGCTGCCAGTTGCGGATCAGTAGGATCGACCGTGGGGGGACCCCCCTCTGACTTGGGAGGCACCAGCTGCCTATGCTGCCTGCCATCCAATAATCCCAGGTAACCTCGATACATTTTATCAGCTACATTCTATCACCAGGTCAACATTCCCCCTTTACCCACCACCCTGTCTCTCACCTATTGTCTCCCACCCCTCTGATCTTTCCTACCACACATTTGCACTTTCACGGACCTATATTTTGCATGTTGTCTTATGCTTTTATTCCACCCAAGAGAGCACACAAACACCAGAAGAATCTCCCTATGCCTGAAGAAAGGTGTGTGCCCAAATGCTTGCAAAGACCAATTTTTCCAACCATTTAGGTGGTCTAATAAAAGATACCACAATTACCCAAAGAACCTTGTCTGCTTATTTTGTTTAAGTGTTTTGTTTATTCCAAATGAAAAGCATACTTCTTTTGAGACTGGCAAAAGAAGTCTTAGAATCATAGAAAGGTACGGTTGGAAGGGACCTCAGGAGGTCATCTAGTCCAATCCTCTGCTGGATTCTTAAGAACAACTTGAACTGAATGTCTTGAAAAATCCACCACAAGAATTATGGCCCAACCCTGGAGCAATAGGAAAAGTACACTGAGACAGGAAACAGAACTGGAAATAGTTTATCAAGAAAGGCATCACTGTGAGAATGAGGGTCAAGATGGGAGGTTAAAGGTATGGATAGGGATGGCATTATGAAAGGTTCTAATGGGAAGGAGATATTCTAGAAAACTACGCTTTGATACTGTTCTATGTAATTTCTGCCTACATACCCTAGTGACAGCTGCTTTACAAATACCCCAAATAACTAACAGAATAAAATATAACAGCCTACTTAATTTTGGAATAGGTGGAAAGTCTCAACATAAAACCAGTCATAATTTTTTTTATATTAATTTAATTTGATTAACAGGACTCTTGAAGTAGTCATGCTCCAACATTTGTTATGCTAATGACTGC